GGGGGAGTTTCCCCCCCCGGAATGGTGGGCGACCTCCCCTTTTGGCCCGGGGGTGGTTTTGTCTAAGGGGTTTTTGGGGTGTCAGCGCCCGAAGGGGAACGGTGTTTCCCCTTCTTGGGGCCACCCCAAACCCCTTTGGGTTTCCCACCCGTTGGGTCCCGTTTGTTTTTTCTCCCCACCCAACAAAAAAAATTAAATGACCGGCCCCCCTTTCCCTCTCTGGGCCCCCAGGATCCCCCGCCCCCCCCCCAGTGGTCTCTCTCTCTCTCTCTCTCTCTCTCTCTCTCTCTCTCTCTCTCTCTCTCTCTCTCTCTCTCTCTCTCTCTCTCTCAATTCCCGCGGGTCTCCAGTCGGCCGCGTCTCCTTTGCCAGACTAGAGTGAGTGTAGAGAGAGGCATGCACATGGCGGCACGGCACAGGGGCATCCAAACAGGAGATGCACACGAGCTTCGGCGTGCCTCAAAGAGAAATTTCTTCCTTCCTTTTCCCCTCCACCATGTGCGGTGGCGGCGTGCCGTGCACCCGTGCTCCCATCCCTACCTTGGTTGCTGTTTCTGTCTTTCGTATTATCCTCCACCTACGGGGTGTGGACCGTGAGTTGACCAGGGGTTGTGCGCCTGGCCCTCCTGCTCGGCTCCAGCGAGTAGACAAGTCTTGTCACTAACAGAGTAGAAGGATCTGACCTCGGGGCCGATGTGACCAAGCGCTGGTAGCGTGGTTTTACCTCACACCCATGGTCTCACAGTGTGCCGGCAGTCGCCGAGCAGTGTCGCTCACACAAGCCGCAGCACAAGTGACTGAGGGCCAGTGAGGGCGAGCCCATCGCTGTCACAGCTGTGGTAGCCGCACAGTAGGCTGTGTCAACTGTGCAGAGCGTGTGAGCAGCCGAGGAGCTGCTCTCCAGGCTTCTGACGCAAAGAGCTGCATGCCATCGAAGGCGCTGTCGAGGTTCGCCGAGCGCGGCGCAGGTTGGAGGACACCGTCACCGACGAGCGCGTTGGACTTTTCACTCCGGACAAAAAACGCGGCACAGCGGGCGGTGCGGGGCGTGCCGCAAACTTAGCGGCGAGGCGCGGGACCGTCTGTGGCGAGGTGGGTCGCGTCCTCCGATTTCCTCAACTCACGGTCCCCTCCCTCTATCCCCACAAACACACTTCCATATTCTTCTCCAGACATACTCACACCTCACTCAACTCCACTGCCGCCTCTGCACCTGTTTCTCCAAGTTTTTGTTGAGAGCCCTGATGTTGGCGCGTGCCTCCTTTGCCGAGACCTCTGTAGTCGCTTGCAGCGCGTTGGGCGCGCGCACACCTTGGCCGTCAGGCCGCAGGAAGTGAGACGGGCCATCCACCTCGATCGCGATGCGTGAGGAGGGCACGCCAAGTCGAGCGAGTAGCCGGTGAGCGGCTCGAGATACTCGTTCTCGAAGCCGTGCTTGATGGCGGCGAGAGCAGCTGCAACCGAGCGCTGCAACCTGCAAGGTAGCCTGAGATCGTCACTTGCGTGTCGTGCATAGCGTCGCAGCAAAGCTGGCGCTGGGAGTCGGGTAGAAGATGCTGCCCGTCTGCCCCTTGCTTCAGGGAGAGCCAGAGCTGCCATTGGTGCAGCTGATGGCGGGATTTGATGCTCCACCGCGACGGATCCCGCGCGAGCGAGTCGCTGATCACACGCGAGCAGTCGGCAAGCAATGCCTGGTGATAATGGTCTGCCGTCGCGTACGCCCACACCGTGTTGGCCAGGTTCTGAGGCGTAAAGCCAGCCAGCCCGCCGCCCACCGCCGCCTCCGCCACCGCCGCGTACAGCGCGTCCGCAGCCACGCCCGCTGTCGCATACGCCCACACCGTGTTGGCCAGGTTCTGAGGCGTAAAGCCAGCCAGCCCGCCGCCCACCGCCGCCTCCGCCACCGCCGCGTACAGCGCGTCCGCAGCCACGCCCGCTGTCGCATACGCCCACACAGTGTTGGCTAGGTTCTGAGGCGTAAAGCCGGCCAGCCAGCTGCGCACCGCCGCCTCCGCCACCGCCGCGTACAGCGCGACCGCAGCAACGCCCGCTGTCGCATACGCCCACACCGTGTTGGCCAGGTTTTGAGCGTTGAAGCCGGCCATCCCGCCGCTCACCACCGCCTCCGCCACCGCCGCGTACAGCGCCTCTGCAGCCACGCCTGTCTTTGCAAACGCCCACACCGTGTTGGCCAGGTTCTGAGGGTTGAATCCAGCCAGCCTGCTCCGCACCGCCACCTCCGCCACTGCCGCGAATAGCGCGTCCGCAGCCACGCCCGCCGTCGCATACGCCCACACAGTGTTAGCCAGCTCCTGAGGGTTGAAGCCCGCCAGCCCGCCGCCCACCGCCGCCTCCGCCACCGCCGCGTACAGCGCGTGCACCGCCCTCGTTTGCAGACCGCACTTTGCCACGCCGTGGGCGATGTTCGCCAGGTTACGTGCTTCGCACGACGACGAGACGAGGTCGAGCGTGCGCTTCGCCAGCCGCACTAGCTGCTCCTCGTGCCACCGCTCGATGCACTTCTGGCCCAGTTTGTTCCACAGGTTCGCAGCGTGGATGTGGTCCAAGCTCGTGCTGTGGGCAGCAAAGAGCCCGAGCAGCTCGTCGGCGTCGCGGGCATGCGAGAGATGAGGCCGGTGAGTTGCTTGGCGTTGAGCTGACCACCGGCGGCAGAGCGGCCAGATGAGGGCGGCTCGCTGCGCACTGCTGGATTTGGCCGGCGTGAGGGCGACTGCGGCGGACCACCTGTCCTTCGCGGCGGTGGCAGCGGCGACGGACCGCCCGGAGGCGGCGGAGGCGCCCACCGAGGCGACAGCGGCGGACGATCCCGTCGTCTTGGCAGCTCACGCTCGTTGCGCCCTCGCGGCTCGTCTCTCCCTCGCGGCTCGTCTCTCCCTCGCAGCCATGGCTCGTTGCGCCGCCGCTCGTCGCGCCAGCGGCTCGCCGTTCGTCCGCCAGCTGTGCTCCGGCCGGGCGAGGCCACTTGAAGTCGCGGCGCATTTTGCTTCCGATGGTCGTTCGGGTACGGAGGGATTTTTCTTTTTGTTCAAAAATATTTTAAGAACGAAACTTTTTCCGAACCAGCCCCACACGAGAAACGACGCGTTGGCATAGGGCTTTGTGGCCCCGTGAGGACTTCACACCGGCCGGGCTCCGCAAAGTGGGAGATGTCCGACTAGTGGTCATGTGTTGCGTCGGAAGGAAGGGGAGGGGTCGGCCTCGAGCGCCGCTAGCCGAGCCTGCCTACGTAGGCGGCATCGTACACGTCGCCGTGCTGCTGCAGCTCCCCGAGGATGCGGCGCACCTGTGCACACACACCGCTGAAGAGGCGCCGCCCCCCGCTGTGCTCGAGCACCCTCTCTGCAAGGAGAGGTGCGCCGCAACGCGGCTCATCTCGGCTCATCTCGGGTGATCTCGGAACGCACCGATTCGTCGCTGACCAGTCCGGGCGCACAGCAGCCTCCCCGCGAGCACTCGGCGCCCTCCTCGCAGCTCTGCACGGCGGCGTCCATGCTCGCCAGGAGCGCGCGGTGGTGCTTCACGTGCGACGCGGTGCCGGCGAGATCGCCTCTCGAGCGGTGGCCTGCGAGACACGGCGAGATCAGCCGAGATCGCCCGAGCTCACCCGAGCTCACCCGAGATCTGCTCCCGTGGCCTGCAAAGTCGTGCTGCTCAAAGAGCGCCTCTTCGTGCGCACAGTGCTCCGCCCACTCCCGCCTGCGAAGCAGCGAGGGAGAGAGCGAAGCGACGCTGTGAACAGGCGCTCGGCACAGTCCCCGCACCTCGCCGCACCTCGCCGCATCTCCGCTGCACCTCAACTGCATCTCGAGCTCGCCAGGCTGCCACATCTCCCCGCATCTCGCCGCATCTCGGCCGCATCTCCGCCGCGCCTGAGGCGGCGTAGGCTCGCCAGGCTGCGCTGCTGCCGGAGGGCGTCCGCCGCGTCGGCGAGGCCCTCGTGCTCGCGATCCATCTGCGCGTGGGCGACCGCGGCCAGCAGCAGCGGCGCAGCGGCGGCGCCGCCTTTGCCCTCACTGCCGCCGCCGCCGCCGCCGGTGGCGGGAGTGGACCTCTGGACGCCGAGGCCGGCCAGGAGGGCCTCGACCGCGGCGAAGGCCAGGGCGCCTACATCCAGCCACCAGACTCGCCTGATCCGATGCCGGCTCGGGCGGAGCTCTGGTGCGGTAGCTGCCTCGGTCCAGATACGAAGGCACGGTTCGCGCGGCGACAAACTCTCCGTGGCGACCGAGGACCACAAAGCCGCCGCAGCCGAGCTGGCCGAAGCGCGGCAGCTCCGACTTGCTCTCAATGTACCCGTTCACCACCGTCGCTGGCAGCCGAAACTCCTTGCCAAACGCCTTGGCCGTGCGGAGGCCACTCGCGCCCGTCTCCACGCAGAGCATGAGGAAGCGGACGCGGTCGCCGTAGCTGCCGCCGTGCGCCCAGGCAGCCATGGCCTCGGCGCACGGGCGGCACCCGCCTCACCCGCTGTCGTACATGTGGATCACCGTCGGCCGGCGCGGCTCGGTGGCGACGGTGTTGGCGCTCGTCAGGGCGTAGAGCGTGGCTCGGTCCGGCCAAGCCGTCAAGGCCGGGTAGGCAGTGACCGGCCTGAAGGTGACGTCGGGCGGTAGGGTGTCCTCCGGATTCATGGCGGCGGGGGCCCGCGCGCGGTGAGAAACGCCTTTGCCTTTGTTACTAAAAGCTACTCGAGTACTCAGTATCAGACCTTCAAGACATGCGCTTTTGGCCGGTGGCCTCCTCGGACACAACCACCGCCGAGATCGGCGAAGAGGCCTTCCCATCGCCGCCACGTCCTCCGCCTCGGCCCTCGAGCATGCGCGCCCAGTGGCCACACAGGATCCCAGGCTATAGCGACGACGCGCTGGCCAGTCAAGGCCTCGATCTTCTTTCTTGGGCAGCGGCTGGTTCGTGCTGTGGGGAGAATGCTATGCAACAAATCCACACGAGTCGCTTCGGGCCCCCGGGCCTGCGCGTAACTAAACAGCGACGACAACGGCTGCAGAATCCAGCCACGAGCCAGCGCGCTAGGTAGGAATCCTACCTACCAGTTCTTCTTGCAGTCAGTGCTCGCAAGAGAGAGCGAGGGGGGGAGAGAGAGATTTTTGAAGACTAACAACGTGACAAGAAATCACGACCCTCAGAGAGAGAGAGAGAGAGATTTTTGAAGACCAACAACAAATCACGACTCTCACAGTGATTTGGGAGGGAGAACGAGAAGAAGAGAACGAGGGGAGAAGGAGAGAGACACAGACAGAGCGCGCGGAGAGGTGGAGCGTCGTGCAGCGCGCTGCATTTCTTTTCAACCGTTGTTGAATGCGGCGGCGCTTACCTCTCGGCGGATTAAGAAGAGACTCTCGGCGGTAGGACCTACTTCGCTAATGAAAGGACAGAAGTTCGAAGACGTGCTTTACGAGACCATCCTCCGAGGCCCGCGCTGGATAGCCGACCTGCCGGGGGGGCGGGCCCTCCCTCTCACCGCTTGCGGAGCCGCCGCGGCGACCCTTTGCGCGGCCCTCTCAGGCTCGCGATGCACTGGCCGGAGAGCTGCCCCATCAAGGCCGCGATGAAGGACTTTGCCCAGCTCTTCAACCACACGAGCAAGGCGGTCGAGGACAAGACTTATGATCTGCCGCCAGAACCGCTGGTCCGGCGGATCCTGGACCAGATCCCCGACCGGCCCGCGTGCGATCAGCTCGCTCAAAAGTACACCGACTGCCGCGAGTGCCCCCACGCGAGTGCCGAGCGCGCCTCCTTTGTGCGCGCGCTCCGCCGGCTCGCTGAGTCGGGCATCACCTTTCTGCAGCGGCGCGCGTCGGCCGAGCCAAAGGAGCGGGCTGGCCCGTCCAAGGCGCGCAAATCCGCGCCAGCGCAGGCCAGCTCGGCGCCCCTCCCCCTCGGGCCCTCTGCCGCCCCGCAGAGCGGAAGCGCGGGCCAGTCGGCGGCGGCCGCCTCCTCCTCCTCCTCCGACCCGCGGCGCGTTCAGCCCGGCAAGCGAGCGAGGCCTGCTTGCAGCTCTGCCGGGGACCCGCTGGCGGCGCTCGCGGACGCGGCTGGCGACGCCAAGCGAATGCCCACCTCGCTCGGCGCCCCTCCCCCCCCTCAGCCCAGCGCGGCGCTGCCTGCCCTCGCGCTGTGTGGCGCCCGGCACAACAGCTGCAGCAGCTCGCTGGCTTCGTCTCCGGAGCACGAGTACGCGCCGCCCCAGCTGGTGCCGCTGCGGCCGCCACAGCCCGCCTTCCGCCCCTTCGCGCCCGCGGCAGCGCCGTGCGCCCCTCTGCACACTCGGTGGCCGCCTCGCAGAGCCGTCCGCCCGAACCTTCTCGGAAGCTTCGTCTAGGTGCGCCTACGCGTCGCACGGCGGCGGCGTGCTCCTCGCGCCGCAGCACGCCGCGCTGCCGACCGGCCACGCCCTCCCGCCCGGCCAGCCTTGGGAGCTTGCGCCGCACTATGGCCCGCCATTCCAGATGCAGAAACAAACGCCCCCGTCCTTGCGAGCGTCGCAGTCGCATTCAGCTGCGAACGCCCTCCACGGGACCGCAGCCCCGCCCTCAGCTCGCTCGCCTCCGCTCCTCAGGCGCGGCCGGCCACCCGCAAGTCTACGCACCGTGTGGCCAGGCGCCTTGCTCCCTGCCCGCACACTCTCTTCTGACGCCAGAACCCCGCCCGCACACTCTCTGATTACGGGGCGGCGTTTTATCTCTCTGGCGGCGGTTTGCCTCACAGCCTCTGGACACGCCGGCCCACGCGCCCCCCGCTCTCGCGCCGACGCTTGCCTCGCAGCCTCTCTGTCCCTCTCCCGCCCTCGTCTCCTCCCAGCCTTGTCCTCCCAGCCTTGTCCTCCCAGCCTTGTCCTCCCAGCCTTGTCCTCCCAGCCTTGTCATGTGCGCCCTTGCCCCAGGCTCAGCTGCTGCACGTCGGGCGGCTGCGGCTGCAGCAGGCGCCGCACCAGCCGAGGGCGGCGACGCCGAGATCACCCGAGGCCACCCGAGATCACCCGAGATTAGGCGCCGCACCAGTCGATGGCCGCGATGCAGATCGCCGCGCCGCATCCCGCCACGATGGTGGTGATGCCGCCGCAGCAGTCGCCCCCGCAGCAGCCGCAGATGCAGCCGCAGATGCAGCCGCAGATGCAGATGTTGCCACAGATGCCGCCGCAGATGCAGCAGCAGCTGTACAGCGCGCAGCAAGTGCAGGCCGTACAGCACGTGCAGCAGCTGCACTCGGCCGGCCGGCAGCCCGTCCCGGTCCAGATTGCAAGCCCGCTGCCGGCGCAGCAGCCGATTGCTCAACCACGCTCGGCGGGTTTGCGAGGGGCGGCCGAGACCACCGCGTTCAGCAGGGTGGAGGCGGCGCCATTCCGGCCGGTGGCGGCGGCGGGGCAGGCGGCGGCCGCAGGGGCGGCGTCAGGGGCGGCGGTGCCTCTCCCGGCGGCCTCGCCGCCGGTGGGCGTGGAGCGGGGGGCTCGCCGGTTTCCCGAGGGGGCGGTGGTGGAGGGGCTTGCGACGCTGACGAGCGACATGAGCGACGAGGTGAAGAGCGCTGCGCTCAGCTGGTGAGATGACCCGAGATTGTCCGAGATTGTCCGAGAGAGATTGGCCCCCGCGGTCAAGAGCGCCCCCCCCGCGCACGCGCACCCTCCGCCCCCACTCCCGCACGTCTCGCCGCCCGCCCACCCCGCATGCAGCGCGTCGGTGTGGCTAGTCCTGGTGCGCCCGCCGCCCAGCCCGACGCCGACGTAACGCCGCCCAACCTTCGACGCGCCGCAGGTGTCTCCGGCGTGGAATGTCGGTGCCGCTCCTTGCCGAGTCGGGGCAGCTCGAGGCGAGATGAGCCGAGATGAGCCGAGATTTGCCGAGATTTGCCGAGATTTGCCGAGTCGGGGCAGCCGGACGGCTCGAGGGCACTCAACTCCCATGATACGCCCCGCCCCCGCCCCCGCCCCCGCGTCCACCCGCCTTCTCCTCCCCCTCCCAACGCCCCTCGCAGGCCTTCCTCGCCGCCCTGCCGCTCCAGCCAAGCGGGCTGCAGGCCTCCGTCCTGCGGCGGCGGGTGGAGGCGGTGGAGCGCGGACCGGCCCGCCCGACGGCAACCACCCACTCCGCAGTCAAGCAGGAGGAGCCCGCCCAGGCCACGCCGCCGCTGTGACCTTCGGCGCCAATGTTTCATCTCGGCCAGTTTTTCATCTCGGCCAATGTTCCGCCAATTTTCGACCATGCCTCTCGACGAGCCGCGGCGCGGACTGCGTTTCCGGCTCGTGCCGCACGAGAACCGCATCTCCCTGCTCTTGCGCGGGAGAGGATTGTGTACCATGGATGACGAGCCGACGTAGAGGACCGAGACAGCAGTGCATGGGCGGCGCTCGATTGTGCGCGCTCGCGCTCCAGCTGCACGCTGCTCTCAGGTCTCACACATACATATCGGGCTCCATCGGAGTGAGTGGACAGTGCGCAGCTGCGCTCCGTTCTGGACCACCAGTAGTGTCTGGCTTTTTCGACCCTTTAGCCTTACACCGCTCGAGTTACAACAAAAGGTCAGAGAATGCCTTCACCATGCACGAACGCGCATCCGTTTCAGATGCCGTGTTTGCGGTCGCCTCCGAATTTCGGATTGTGTGTGTCAGAGCAATGACGTCCACGTGTAAAATGGCCTCCTTGTCTCTCTAGTCTCTAGATTGAAGATGCGCGCTCTACCACTAAAGTTCTCTCTGCGGCCCCGAACAAGTTCCAAGACCAAGTTGGAGGGGCGGGGGCGCGCCGGCGGCCCGCGCCGCCGCGCAACATACTCATGGAATCCTCAAAGTGCCGCTCCTCCGCTCGCCCCCACGACGGGCAGCCACAGCGCGCTCGCGCCGCAGCAGCCGACGTCCACGCGCAATGCCACGTCGCTGTTTGCGGCGGCGCGGGTCGGGTCGTGCAAGGAGAGGCCGAGGGCGACGGCGTTGCCGGCGGGCACCTACAGGAATGTTCCAGGAAATGTCTAAGAGAGGTCCTGCACGGAAGCAGGCTCGTGCGGTCGGCGGGCACGTCGGTGCAGAGGGCCGCCATCCGCACCACCACCTCCCCTGCGCCACCGGCCGGCACGTCCCAGTTGTCCCTGACGTCGTCCGGGCGCAGGTACCTACGGGGAGGTCCCACAAGTCCCCGGGGTGTTCCTCTCTCATCCGTGATGCCGTCCGGGCGCAAGCACGGCGGGTCCGGCCCTCGGTGCCACACGTCGCGCGCGCCGAAGGAGAGGAGCTCGAGCTCGCCTGTGGAGGAGTCTCTCTTCACTACTCATGATCCATTAGCCGGATGAGAGGAGCTCGAGCTCGCCTGTGGATGAGTCTTTCTTCACTACTCATGATCCATTAGCCGGATGAGAGGAGCTCGAGCTCGCCTGTGGAGGAGTCACTCTTCACTACTCATGATCCATTAGCCGGATGAGAGGAGCTCGAGCTCGCCTGTGGAGGAGTCTTTCTTCACTACTCATGATCCATTAGCCGGATGAGAGGAGCTCGAGCTCGCCTGTGGAGGAGTCTTTCTTCACTACTCATGATCCATTAGCCGGATGAGAGGAGCTCGAGCTCGCCTGCCGGCACACCCCCGCTCGCTCGGCTCCTCTCGGCTCCGCTCGGCTCGTCTCGGCTCGTCTCGGCTCGTCTCGCCGTTTGGCGCCATCGAGAAGACGCGCGCCGCGAGCTGGAAGCGGTCCATGCTGGAGGAGGCGTGGAAGGTGGCGTTTGGGATGCCGCACACCCGCAGAGGCGCCGCCTAGTGGTGGTGGTGGTGGTGGTGGTGGTGGTGGTGGTGGTGGTGGTGGTGGTGGTGGGGTGTGTGTGTGTGTGTGTGGTGGGTGGGTGGGTGGGTGGGGGGGGTGGGGGGGGGGGCTAGGGGCGAGGCTACGAGCGGGAGAGGGGAAGGGTGGTGCTCCTGCGGCGGCGCGACAAAGAGCGCCGCCGAGCTAGAGTTGATGGCGCGCCGGTACGACTTGATCTGCACCCCGGCGGCGGCAGAGACAAACGGGCTCAGCAGCGGCACCTGAGGGGGAGAGAGCCGAGGCGGCACGTTCCGAGACACTTCTCGAGCCACCCCCCGCCCCAGAGCGGTGTGGAGCGGCGCCCCGCCGCTGAAGCCCGTGTCGGGGCCATACGCCAGCCGCCGCGTGCACTCCTCGGCCTTCGGCGGCGGAGACGGCGCTGCGACATCTGACGAGCGGATGGAACGGATGAGAACGTTCTAGTCGGCGGCGGAGGCAGAGCAGCGCCGCCCAACCTCTAGCCTGCGGCGGCGCCAGCGCGTCGCCGCGGAGCCTGTAGCTTGACGGCTGCACGCGCGGCGACGGCCACGAGTCGAAGTCGAGGTAGACTGGCACCTGGACGTGGCGTGAGAGGGGGTAGGGGGGGTAGGGGGGTAGGGGGGAGGGCGGGGGTGAAGCGGCGTGCCCGCGCCTTGTGTGGAATACCCCCCCCCCCCCTACGCACACGGCTGCAACGTGGTGGGGGCGCAGCCGAGCACACTACCTCGTCTCGAGGTCTCGAGGTGAGAGGGTGGCCAGCAGAGGATGTGCCGCATCTAGATCCGGCCGGCACGTAGTTCTTGAAGACAGACGCCTCTGGCTGGCGCAGCTGGAACGAGAGGGCGGGTGGCGGCGGCGGCGGCGGCGCGGCGCCCGGCTTGAGGTTGGCGTCGAGGAAAGCCAGGACACGGCTCCAGAGCGGGGACGATGTTGCGACGGCGTCGGAGAAGCCCAACATGCCTGGCAGGTTCCAGTGAGATGACGGGTGAGGACATGACTGGACATGACTCAAGAAACCAAGCATGGCTGGCGGCAGAGAAAAGAGATGAAGGGTGAGAGGGGAGAGGGAGAGAGGGAGAGAGAGAGAGAGAGAGAGAGGGAGAGAGAGAGAGAGAGAGAGAGAGAGAGAGAGAGAGAGAGAGAGAGGGAGAGAGAGGGAGAGAGAGGGGGAGAGAGAGAGCCTGGCAGCTCTGCCATGGCGTGGATCCCCTCGTGGATCATCGTCTCGACGCGGCAGCCGGCGCCATGCAGCGCCTGCCGGTAGAGCAGCGCCGCGTCGGGCGCGAAGAGCCGGTCCTCCGCGTTGTTGGACAGGAGAACGGGCGTGGCGCGACCGCCGCCGCACAAGTCCTGCGGGGACACGTCCAGGACACGTCCGAGGCGCGTCCACGGCACGTCCTCGCAGCCGCCCGCCCCCCGCGAGCAGCCGCCTGCAGGTGCGCTTCTGGCGAGCGAGTGCGGCACCACCCCACAACCTCCTCGGAGCGGTTGCCTAAGGCCGAGAGGCGGCCGAGAGGTGGCCGAGATAGAGTGCGGCACCGCGCCCCCCCCCCCGCCCCTCTCCCCCGGCGTGCCGGCGAGGATGGCGCGGAAGTGTGGCGAGACGGAGTTGGAGAGCCGGCCCATGCCCACCCATGGAGAGCCACTCAGCTTGAGCACCTGCCAGATACAGCCGAGATACAGCCGAGATACAGCCGAGATACAGCCGAGACACAGCCGAGACACAGCCGAGACACAGCCGAGGTCTAGCCGGGAGCTGCTTCGAGCTGTCCACACCTCGTACCAGAACAGGTTCGGCGCGCCTACGAAGAGGCGTCCGAGAAGCTTCCGAGAAGGTTCCGAGCAAGTTCGCGGGGAGGGCGGCTTGCTGGCCAGGGCACAGGGCTAGGAAGGGTCTAGGAGAGGTCTAGGAGTGGTCTAGGAAGGGCACGGGGCTGCGGCGCGCCCTGCCCCGCGAGGGCGCGGTTGATGTTGCCCCACCCCGAGAGAGAGACCGCCGCCGTCACGCGGCTGTCGGCGGCGGCCGTGAGGACAGCAAGGCCTCCGCCATACGAGACGCCCGCCGTGGCGATGCGGGACGGGTCGGCGTGCCAGTCGGCGGCGCGCGTCTCGACCGTGTCGAGCACGCGGCGAGCGTCGTCCACCTCGACCCACGGCGCCCGCGTCGCTCACCTCCCGTGTATCTCCCCCTTCTCTCGGCTGCGTCTCGGCTATCTCTCGGCGGGGCCTCGAGCGGGCCCGCGGCGGTCACTTCCCCCTCCGACTCCCACCAGCCCCGCGCGACGTACATCAGCACGACGTACCCCGCCGCCGCCCACTCCTGCTGCTTGACGGCGTACTCCCACCAGTTCATCACCCACGAGTTGCAGAGGACGACGACTGGGAAGCGGCGTGTCGCCTCCGCCGCCCCAGCCTTGGGATACGCAACCACCGCCTTTAGCCGCGCGCCTAGGAGGCCAGACCGCGCTGCCGGACTGTCGGGTGTGTGCTGTCGGAGAGTATGAGACTGCGCGCCTAGGAGGCCAGACCGCGCTGCCGAACTGTCGGGCGTGTGCTGTCGGAGAGTATGAGACTGCGCGCCTAGGAGGCCAGACCGCGCTGCCGAACTGTCGGGCGTGTGCTGTCGGAGAGTATGAGACTGTCGGACCAGGGCTCTACAGGCCACTTTCTTCCGCGCGCCTCCCACCCCACTGATGGCCAGCTCCTCCCACTCGACCGACAACCCGCCCGGCTTCAGATCGCCGAGGCCGCCGGCCTGCGCGAGGCCGAGCAGCGACTCGGTGACGCGCGAGCTCGCAAACCGGCCCGCCTTTCCCACCTCGCCACCGAACCGCGTGCTCGCCTCGCCCACGCCGTCTGCCACCGACTGCCTCACGTGCTCGAGCGGCGCGGGAAGCACCTCTGACGACGCCGGCAAGGAGAGGGAGCCCGCTTGCGCGCCGGCGGTGCCAATCTGGGAGTTGACAGCCTCCTCCGTCTCGTCCGCGGACACTTGAAAGTCGACGAGCTTCTGCTCGGCGGTCAGTGTTGCTGCCATTGTACTGTCGTCAAAGGCAGTCGCGAGAGAGTCGATGCCCTCGCTGCTGGGCCGCCGACCAACGAGTGTCAGCGCCGCAAAGAGCGTGGTAGCTACCAGCGTCAGAGGGATGGGCCAGCGCCGCGAGCGCGTACTGTGCGTGATCATCGCGAAGCGGGCGTATCAGTGCAGGAGGCGAAGAGGGACAGTAGGCGTGTGTTGGCTTAGCCTTAGGGACCAACGACAATTTTCTTTTTTGGGCGTTGGAGAAAGTAATCGGCAAGAACGCCGTTTGATGTGTGCGTGTTCGGTTTTCTTTCTCCTTTGGGAGCAGGATCTGATGCACCCTCTGTGGACCACTGTGCGGGTACTCTGAGCACTGAGGCACGAAACCCCATCGCCAACTATGTCCATGACGGTCAATCTGCCGGTGGATCTACAAAATCTCCGGCTGCCACAATCCAGAGGGAGGTGGCGGCGCCTTCGACCCCGGCGACGCCACCGGCGCCGGGCTCGGCTGGGCGTGCGGCTGCGCGAGCTGCGACTCGTCGAGCCCGACATCTTGCGGCCGCATCGGGGGAGAGGCCGCGCCCTCCTGGCCCTCTTGCAGCGTGCGAGGTCGCTTCACGCCGACGCGGGCCGTGAGCAGGTCAGCCTCCGCCTTGACCTTGACGCCGCTGACCTCCTCGGCACGCTGGCTGTCTTCCCACGTTGCGGAGCGAGCCCTCTCCTCGGGAGGCATGCCCCACGCCCTGCACTCCCCGTGGACGGGCGAGCCCTGGGGGAGCATTGGCGTGGGAATCCCGTACTGCACTGGGAACGATGGCGCGACGCACCCACCGCCGAGCGGGACAGGCCCCACGGGGGGGATGCCAACAGAGGGGGCGCATGCGCTTCCCGCACTGGTGGCCCGCATCCCATGCAGCGGCGACGGCATGTCGGCGTACACGCCTCGCTGTGCGCAGAACGCAGGCGCAGGCGCCATGAGCCAGGAGGGGGCAGTCCCGGGGCCAGCCTCGGCGGGGCCAGCCACCAGCCACGGCAGCAGGTGCGGCTCGCCCGCGACCGGCGCGACTTGGGGCGCCGGCACCAGCTGCGACGTCCAGAGGCCGAGTGTCTCAGCCGCCGACGGGGCGCCCGGTGCCAGATGCCAAGGCTGCGGTTGCTGCTGCTGCAGGGCCTGATGGTGCTGCTGCGCCGCCTGTAGCAAGGCCTGCTGCTGTTGTTGCGCCGCCTGATGCAGGGCCTGCTGATGCTGCTGGGCCGCCTGCTGCTGTAGCAAGGCGTGTTGCGGCTGCTGCTGCTGCTGCTGCAGCGCAGCCTGCAGCGCCTGCTGTTGCAGTGCTGCCTGCTGCAGCGCTACCTGCTGCAGGGCTTGCTGTTGAAGCGCCCTCTGCTGCTGCAGCCCCAACGCTATCGTCGGCGACTGTTGCGCAATTGCCATGTGCGATCGCAGCAGGGTGTCCGTCGCCCACGCCGCCTAAGTAGGTAGCAGCCTGAGCTTGGACGTCCGGGTTTGTGCTCGGGTGTACATGCACATCTCGGGCGCCTCGGCCGCCGCGTTGATCGGCATGTACTGAGTCGGAATCGGCGGCTGCACGGGCTGCGACGTGGGCGACTGCACGAGATGAGGAAAATCCGAGATGTGCTTAGGATGTAGCTGCCGCAGCTGCGGTGACGCCTGGAGGCGAGAGACGGCGCGCTTAGAATCCCCGCACCCTGCCCCGCGGCGCATTCACGGCTCCCCTTTCCTTGGCTGGCGGTTGCAGAGGCGCTGTCGAGCCCATCAAGTTTGGGTGGTCGCCCGCGTGCATGGGGTTGTCGAGTCCAGCCTGTGCCCTCGCGTCGGCGAAGTTGTTGGCCGCGGGAGGCGCTTTGGCCATGAAGTCGCGTCGAATCTCGAGCTGCCGGGCCTCGAGCTTTGCGAGCGACTCGAGTGTCTCAATGTTCTTGATCCACTTGCGCAGCTGCGTCTGAATACAAGCGAGGGGTGCGGTGAACAACGCGCAGGGGGTGGCACTGGTGCTGGTACTGGTGGCACTCTCGCCCGCTCTCGGGAGCCAGGGAGTTGCAGGCATGATGGCGAGCTAGTTCGGGGCGCGGGGAAGGGGGGGCGCCGGGCGGCGGCCAGGGGGGGTGGTGGGGAGGAGGGGAGAGGGAGGGGGGGGGGGGGGGGGGACACCTTTGGGGCGCTTTTGGGCCGTCAAAGGGCACCGGTTCAACCCCGGGGGGGTCTCTGCAGGTCGGTTTGATTCGGCAGGCTTCAGGGCGGGCGAGAGCCTCGTGCACGACCCGCAGTTTGTACTCCGCGGTGTACATGGTACGCGGGCGGCGCTGCAGCTGCCTCTCGGCGGGCATCATGCGCGTGCGCCGCTCTCTCCCGCGGTCGGCGCCACGCGACGCCGGGCAAAGGCGAAGGCGAAACGCGAAGCCCTCACAGACCCAACCCCCCCGGGGGATACTCGCGCACGGAGAATATATGAGTGTTGACAGCCAATCTCGATTTCTGTTAGGCCGACGGGCTGTACGGGGAATTGGGGAGGGGGGCAGAAGAAGGGACACAGAAGACCGGATTTCCGTTCCGGCAGATTCATCGAGCTTTGCCGAATGCGTCGCGAGGGGGGAAGGGGGGGGGGGGGTCGTGTTCGACAGGTCTATTGTTGGCAAATCAAGACACAATATGCATACAAGAGCTCACACAAAATCACAGCGGGAGGAAAGCGGCGAGTCGCAATTCCTGGGGTCCTTGTGGCGGGCCACCCTGTCCAGAGAGGCATGAGTGCCAATCTGGGGTCTCTCGACCGAGTCTATGAGTCCTGGCCGCTCCCGGTGGGGCACAAGGTTAATAGAACCAAGCGACGGAGATGGTGCGGGGGTACGGGTGTTCCAGGAGGTCACGACACGCACCGACCCTTCACGAGCCGAAAGGCTGTGCCCGGGGAAGGCACAGTAATCCGGCACGTGTTGGGCGCCCCATTCCGTTTGGCGGCTAGGTCGGCTCAGGGCCCCGTCCACTTCCCTCCCTTGCTCCCACTTGGCGCGTGATGATGAGGAGATGCCACCCAGGCCAGAGCCAGCCAGGGCAGGGGCGGAGGGCGAGGGCTGAGGGCGGGATGGGCGCCAAGCGGGAGGGAGCGAACGGAGTGGAACGCACAGATGGGGGGGATGGCGAAGGCGTAGCCGTAGGGGCGGGAAGGGGGGAGGGCGGCGGGAGGGCGGAGGTCGGCATGGGCGGGCGGTGGGTGGGTGGTTCGGTAGGGCGGGGGGGAGGGCGGGCGGGGGGAGGGCGAGGGGTGGAGTAGGGGGGCGGTGGTGGAGAGGGGAAGCGAAGGGGAGGGTGGCGGCGGGGGAGGCAGCGTGGAGGGTGGCGGAGGCAAGGGGGAGGAGGAGGGCGGCGGAGGTGTGGGCGGCAGTGCCGGCGGGGTGGTGTGGAGGTGGAGGGCGGCGGCGGCGTGGGCGAGGTGGAGGGCGGCGGCGGCGTGAGCGGCGGCGGCGGTGTGGGGGTGTGGGGGAGGTGGAGGGTGGCGGCGGTGTGGGCGAGGTGGAGGGCGGCGGCGGCGTGAGCGGCGGCGGCGGCGGTGTGGGCGAGGTGGAGGGAGGAATTCAGATCGCGTTCCCAGTTCCTCGTTGTGACGACGAGTCGACGACGACTACGATGCTGCCGAAGAGGGCGCGCTGGCTTCGTGGAGCGGAGTGCCGTCGCATAAATAAATGAACACGCCAACGAGGGGAAAGAAAGAAAGAAAGAAAACAGACAGCGAAGGGGGGGGGGGAAGAAAGAAAGAAAGTAGACAACCCAAACGAGGGAAGGGGAGGAGGACAGGGTCCCCACCTGCACGAGCAGGATTTTGGAAGGACCGGAAGGACCAAGGGGCGATGATCTACTCTCGAGTAGTTGTAGAGCTCTAGTGTGAGTGCCAGCCAGGGTTCGGACTTTTTGCGGGGTAAGGTATGGTAGGGTCGGCGCCCTGGCGCCGCGACCATACCCCCCCACCCGCACAGGACGTCGCCTCTGGCCAGCAGGACCATACCCCCCCACCCCCCACCCCACCACACGAGCGTACAGTAACCGTCGTGTTAGGCCGTCCGGTCGTGCAGCACGTGTTCGCGCGATGCAGTCTGCGCGAGGTGACCCGCCGGCAATCGTGCTCACCCCTCAGAGCGTGTCCGCAAAGGCCGCCAGGGCCTTGCGTGCCGGCGCAGGCGCGGGCGCAGGCGCGGGCGCGGCCGGTGCGAGCGCGGGCGCGGGCGCGGGCGCGGTCTCCGCCGGCGCCGCCTCCGCCATGGTCACCTCGGGCGCGGGCGCGGGCGCGGTCTCCGCCGGCGCCGCCTCCGCCATGGTCACCTCCGCTGGAACGGCCTCCGCCTCCGCCGCCTCCGCTGGCGCCACCTCCGCCTCCGCCATGGTCACCTCCGGCGTCTCCGCCGCCTCCGCCTCCACCTCCACCGCCTCCGCCGCCGTCGCCTCCGCCGCCGCCGCCGCCGGCGGCGGCGCGGCCACCGTGGGCGCGCGCGCGCGCGCCATCTCGAAGGGGTTGCGCGGCTGGCCCGAGTTGGGGGGGCTCTTGTAGTACATGTCCCACTCGTTGAAGACGTTGTAGGCCGCGGCCATGCACTGGCTCATGCGAAGGGACGCGCGCAAAGTATTCAAGTTTGCCCGGTGTGATCTGTGATCTGCGGCCAAACCAC